AAAAAATGAATTTCGAAGCTACTGTCTCATGTAATAAATTCCCTTCCTTCCTTTCCGCCATTTCCTTCTTTTTATCCTTTCTCCCCTCATTTCTTTTCTTGCTTTATTTTTCTTCTTTTATCGCGGGACGCCGCAAAATCGCTTCGAGTCCCGATAAAAGCACGCTGGGTTATCCTCGCGTCAATTAGCGCGATCGCGCACCGGGGGAATTTGGCCGTGTCCCTATGGCGCGGCGTGCTCGGTTCGCGCCTCGAGGAAGCGTCATCGCCGCATTACGGCCGAGTAATCTCCTTTATCGTGTCCCGATCCCGATTAATTTAAAAATATGCACGCGTTAACGACGCGTACGGTATATCGCGAGCAACGGCATGCATTACGCGCGCGAGGAGATGCGAGGAGGCGCGAAAAGGACCAGAAGGAAGGGAAGAAGGAGAAGGTGAGACCAGCCGGCTCGCGAGATCCTGCGAAGGACATCCGCGTGTTGGAACCCTACGCGCGCGGATGTTACCACGCCGGTAGTAACTCCCTCCCCCTTCCGTGTAACAACGGAGGAGAAAGATCGCGAATGGAGGAGGGACCTCGCGCGCGTGAAGTCAGCTTTACGACAATATAATTTTGGAAGCGACACACGGACGGCGTGGAATGCGACGATCGGAGTCAACGAACGGCATATAGAAGTCTTCGATACGTCGTAAATGGCCCCTGTCCCTCCCCCGACTCGTCGTTGCGCTCCTGATCGTACACGGACCTCTCCTCGTGCTCGAAGAAGTTTATACAGGGTGTTTCGTGAATGCCAGGGACTTCGAGCGGGTTGTCCATCGAGATAAGTTGATATCGCGAGAACTTCATGGCACGATTACAGAACTATTTAAAGATGGAGTTCGAAGGCGGACTAAACCTCTTCTGAACACTGACTTCGGACATAAACGATCGATTTCAAATGAGCTTTGCTTTCAAGATATTTTTGCTTGAGATTTATTAATTATCAAGGTACTGTTGAGCTACAGGTCTGAAGAACTGCGAAGGAAAATATCTGACGAAATTTGCATTACAAAAGGACTATCTTCATGGATATTCTTAGGAAAAGAATGAATTCTACAAATTCTACAAACACCCTATGGGTTGTCACGTACACGATGTCGAGCTGTCTACGGACAACGAAAAATCGACGACGTCGCATCCCAAAAATGCCGACGACGTGGTCGGCCGGTATCTCATTACTGGCAAACAGAGCTCGGTAACTCTATGTTATATAGCTGATCGAGGGAACCGGCGAAGAAGGCCAAGACGATACCTCCGTGACGACCGGCGCGTCTTCAAGATACATCCATAAATTTTGGCGCACCAAATACTCCCCGAGAATAGCTTCGACTGCATAGGACGGATCAATAACCGCATAAAGTACGGGAAGAAAGAGCGCAGCGGCACGTATTCGCAGTATTCGGTCTCGGAGCGTGAACGTGCGTGGACTGGGAAGAAACCCATGGAGATCGGAGTAAAATAGAACCTCACGATCACGTCGCTGTGTTTTTCCTCGTGCAACAGGAACAACGCGCGAGGCAGCCTTACGCACTTTTTGTTCTGCCTTAACTTCGCGCCGTTCGTGGATATGATGATACGAAAGTGCATATGAAATTGTTGTTGAATATTTCCGCGATACGTGATGACAAGTGGCCGCTACATGTATTCTGTAACTTTAATAACAATGTTAATATCGTTATATGGTCGTATCATATATGGTAAAAAATTTGCGTAATGACAATATAAGTAATAATAACAAATTGTCATTAAGAATTACAGAATACAAGCACGGTGAGAGATGACAACGTTAGAAAAGAATTCACTCAATCACATAAATCCGGTTATTATTATTTAGAGAAAACTTCTCAACGATTCTCTTTATATAATCCGTAATTATAAATTCACATCGCCCTCGAATTGTAAAAAATGGCAAACATTCCAGTATTCACGTTTTTACTTTAAAAACTTCAGTGTTTCAAGGATATATCTTAAAGAAACCATTTACAAAGAGTCAAACCACTGATCTTCCTTATATTATTAAATTCCAAGCGTATTAACGTAGGAACGAAGAAGCGGCTGCTCTTACGTAGATAAGGCAACAAAAAGGATAAACCGGTACGTTAAGTGAAATGGATGGAACCATAAAAATTGGAACGGAACAAACGTCCTATAAAGTATTGTTTTACTTTCGGTGCGTTTCTCGATAAAATCGCGGCCAACTCTTCGGCGGGTCTCGTTTGAAACCGAGAAGAAACTGATGGTCCGTAAAGAGCGCTTCGCGGACGGTCCATCTTGGACCGTTCCGATTATATCGGGTGGATCGGTGCTCGCGCCTGAAGCGCTGCCAAAGGGACGGCTTCAGAAAAAGAGAGAAAGAAAGAAAAAAAAAAGTGAACCCTATTGTCGTGCTTAATTTAGCGTTAAATTGTTTACATCTCATTAATCGCGCGCGGTGGACAACAACGGTGGGATCCGTTCCTGCGAAAGACTGTCATGATCATCGATGCACGTCAGTCATGGGGGGCCATGGCCCACGTCCCCCTTGGATATCGAGTCGTCCATTGCCACGCTCCCGATTCTCGCACGGTCGAAATGCATCCGCTTGTGCTCTGCAATTCCATACGCGATACGATCGGAGCAGATTTCTTTTTCGATCAAGAAACATAAATAAAAAAAATGAGCTAAAGCAGAATAATGAACTCGTTCTGTTCATTCCTCTGCTCCAGATCCACATACGTATTTAACCCGGAAATAGTCTCCTGTAGTGTTTTTACATCCCCAACATTCGAGAAAATATGAATTGTTGTAAAGTGGATAAGTTTTTTTTCATTTGGAACACATTTTTTTTTTTTTTTAAGAAATATTCTTAACTTTTGAATACGTAATTCTACATAATTGTATAAAAAAGCGTTATATTAATTAAAATCTTAATTTTTTTATAAATTCGTCGTAATGTACTTTTATAATAAGCTGCTTAATGTTCTTATTTCGTTTAATATTTATTTGGTTTCTACTTAATATTTTCACAAAAAATTGTGAATAAATCCATATTTATATGTTCTCAAATGCTAATAAATAAAAAAATAATCAATAATATATAATATGTTGTAAACAATAACAATTTTAATTGGGGTGTAAAAACATCTCAGGTGATCATTTACGTAAAAAAATGAGGTGACTATATTCTCAGATTAATAGTTAATAGATACAGAAAATTCTGTTGATATAGTAATAGTTATCTGAAATAAAAGTTTTAACTAGTTTTTTTTTAGTTTATCCTATTTGCTAAACGATTAGCAAAACAAAAATAATTTCAAGAATGAATTTTGAAACAAAAGATAGTTACTATATCAAATATGTATAAGGATCAAATTTTTATTCCTGTTCTTCTTATCTTTAAATCAGGTTGTACTCTGATTCTCCTTAAATTTTTATTGCGCTATCACTCACGAAAACATGTGTACGTGAGTGTACATGATGTATAGACGTATACGAATGTGTTGAGCTCGGGTCCGTGGGTTCAGGCTAAGCTCAAATGACTGTGCGGATTGGTCACCCCGGGAATCGGAACAGATCTCTGTCTCTACTCGTTCTATATGCCCCATTTCGCGTCGATGGGACAACTTTGGATCGGTGCTCTGAATAACGTCCACTTGCTTCAACCGATTCATCGAATTTACAACGCGGTATTGACACAGTTAAGCTGCGTTACTGCGGGAATGATAGCGGCTAGTTTCAATTACATATCGAGTACCGCGTAGGTCGTTAAGGAGATAGTCGGATTTCCACCATGAATGTTAATCTTCTTAGCTTAGTTCATGGCAAACAGAATTTTTCGGTAGTACATCACGAACAAATGTGTTTAAAAATATAGTAAAAATATAGTAAAGACAATATAGCAAAGAGAGAGATAGAGATATTAAGAAAAAGATATAAAAAATATTCTCCTAAAAAAAAATGCGATTACTTAACATTCCCAATATATTTCGCCCAATGTAAATTAACATTAATTAATCTTGATTTAATTTACTTTTTATATTTTCCTAATATTAAGAATTAAAAAAGGATAAAGAGTAAATTAAACTAAGATTAAAGTTAATGTATATTAGTAAAAATGTTTGTAAGATATTTAAATTAATTATCTCATTAAAAAATCGTATACGTTCAGATCGTTACGGCTTTTTACATATGTACATTAAAGTACACGATAAAACGTAAAATTTGATTAATATCGCTAGGTTTAGTATGATGTGTAATAAAGAACATGGACATCCATGCATGTCTTGATAAACACATCTCATAAAATTAAAATAACTCGGCAACGATTTATTTGCCGATATAAAGCGCAAAAATACCCGTTTACATCGGCGGTCGTAAAATATTTTTAACGGCGTGGCTTTTCTGTCGCCGCTTTAGTAAGCTCGTAAGGGTTTACGGGCTATGATCATAGTATAATTTCACATAATGAGAACTTTGGTACTCGATCGCATGGGGGATACGGCGACTATCTACACGGAATCTCATGCTATCGGCTTTCAATAAGGTTGATAAAGTCAACTATAGGGAGACGCGAGAAGCGAGAGTATCAAACGCCTATAAAGGAGATGCAACTCGCGAATAATTCACTCATTATCTGTACCATCTCCTTTCTACTTCAGCAATTTTCAGAAAATGTCGAAAGACTTGGATGTGCATCTTTCAGCAAATGTCATCACGAATTTCATAGAGTCTCGTATGTTTCAATCTACATAATATTATTAATTAAATGTTCCGCAATTAATTAATAATTAATTCGTTAATTTTGTTCAACTGTATTATACGTAAATATCTTAACGTACACATTATAGTGAAAGAAAAATGCTTGTGTACGGCGTAAAATACAATCATGCATTTGACAAATAATACACATTTTCCGTTTGCAACTTTTCAAACATTATAGCTTTGAAAATGCTCTTTTCAAAAATAATTAGTGGACTTACCAGTCAGATGACTTCCAGTGAATTCGAAATCATCGTCTTGATCCCAGTGCTTCAAACTCAAGTTCGACAAAGATGTTGCATTGGCAAACTCCAAGTTTGCAAAATGCCAATCCAGTATCTGCCGATCTTTGGATGATAAATAGACGTCGCTGTATTCGAAAAAAAAGAAATTTATATCAATTAGTATATGTAACGTCGATATACAATAGTATGTATAGAATATAAAACATATATTTACCTTGGAGGTGATGCCTCCAACTCTTGTAATTTTGCTTCGATTTCTTTTTGCTGATCTGATAACTGATCCCATTCCTAAAAAATAAAATAAATAAACATCACACATGCCTCATTATATATTTAATTTTACTATGAAAAATATATTTTTATTAAACTATACATACCTTGCAAGCGTTATGGAGATCACGCAGCTTAGATCGGAGTACGAATTCCTGCGTTATATCTCGAGTTTGTAATTTACTTTCTGTCATTTCTTTGTATTGTTTATTTAGTTCCATTAAACGATCCATAATAGAGATCATCTACAACATAAATTAGTCATTTTTAATTAATTGTATAATCACATTATTTTTTATAATCACATATTTCACATAAAATAAAAAGTATGTTATTAAATTATAGTTTATACATACTCTATGCTGATTGGTGATTAATCGTCCTTGCAACGAAAGTACTGAACGCAAATGTGCAACTTGACGTTGCTTTACACCTTGTTCTTGTAAACGTATTACCCATTCTAATGCTTGTCCTAAAGATACTGGACGTGCATTACTACCTTGTCCTCCGGATCCTGCACTATTTATGTAATTAAAATCTAATTGATGCGAGAGATAAGAGGTCGCTTCTAGTAGTCTGTTAAATTCTCTTTCAACCATTTCATCTTTATCTTTGGGAACCTGTAAAGGATATAAAACATACTGCTGAAACTTTGTGGCATATGATTAATATTTATTTACATAATTATAAAACAATCATTTCAATACTAACAATATTTATAATAACTATATCAAATTTAATAATGTACAGCAATAAAATATATTTATTTTATTATTCTATTAAAATAGTTTGAACATACCGTTTGGCCATCGCTTTCATATAATGGACACTTTTGACGTATCTTATGAAGCTCCATGTTAATTTGTTTACTAAGAGTTGTTACAGGATTTCCACCTAAACCTGTGACTACCATAGCTCCTAAATCCGCAATATAATTTGATTTACGAAACGTGGCGATTCGTCCACCAACACGATCCTAAAATGCAAATGAATTAGCAAAACAAAAATTAATAAAAATAAACTAAAATAAAATAATTATATTAAAAAAGATAATCATTATCTCATTTTATATAATTACTTTATATAATTATTAATTATCAATACTTACTCTAGCTTCCAACACAGTTACTTCTAAGCCAAATTGTTGCATTTGTTGAGCTGCTGCTAATCCAGCAATACCGGCTCCTATTACAATGACTTTACCTAACTTTTTAGTTGGCAAAGGCTGCAACCAAATAAATAAGATTACTTATTTCTCTACTACTACATATTATACAACATAAATATTAAAATTTTTCTTCTTTTAGTCTATCGTGTTTTGTGAGAGACATGATAACCTCTTTTATAGACTATTGATAGACCTATTGATATATATAAGAGATAGGATCTACAGTTTTTAACACTGGATTTGAACGGCTTATCAGAAGAAGTTGTCATGGCAAAGATACTCTCGATAATTTGTCATTGGTTTCTGAGAAATGACGATCAAATAAAGTCCACTATGTATGTTCTGAGCGAATTTGAACTTATATATCTCTAACAGCTACGCAACACTCTATGCCTATGTCATCTATTAAAATTTTATATTTGTATAAATTTTAATTTACCTTAAGACGCTTAAAAACTCCAAAGTTTACAAAACCATGTCGCTCTAAAAATGCATGAATCCTACGAGCAAGTACTGTGTCACTGTTATAGGGTGATTCAATCTGTGGTAATACGTTTTCGATGATTAACTGCTGTTTTGGATTTTCCAACCAAATTTGCAGCTAAAATTCAATAATATTAGAAAAAGAACAATGAAATTGATCAGTTTAAATACTCACAAGTCTATTCCTAATGTGTAAAAACACTTTCTGTGTTTGCAGTGGTCCAGTAGCAATATCAGGAAAACAAGCAGCTTCGGTAGATGTCAGTTTGTCAAACGGAAGACGGCTCTGAAAGGCTGCACCTTCTAATCCATTTAATAATTCCTTGACTATATGTATAAATATAAATTAATATTCCTATCAACATTACCAAGTTTAAATAACTAATTTATAAAATTCACCATGTGGATCTTCGTGATCACTATCTTGATCATCTTCCTCCTTGACTTCGGTTTTTGAGACAGAAGGTACAGGAGCAGGTACTGTAGATTCAGATTCCTTTTTTACCTCAATAGACGCTTTTTTCTCAGGCGTTACGAGACCAGTTTTAGATTTCTCTGATGTGTCCGAGGCATTCTCGTCTTCTAATTGATTATACTTTTCCTCCATTTCTCTGTACTCCACCTACGATCAAATATATATCTAAATACTCATTCATTAAAAATAAAAGTTATATTTAAAAAAAACTATAAAACATAAATAATAAATTTGTTTAAAAGTAAAAGCAAGCAACTGCAAGTAATTAAGTAAATATGAATCATCAAATGACATATTGTCTTACAAGTGTATACATAACCAAAATATACTATCTCACGGTAAAGAGTATATTTATGAATAACTATAAAATACATCCCATTAAAAATATTCCTTTTATTTATCAACACATAAAAGATAAAGTACAAGCCATCATACGATGATTTATCTTAAGATCGATGTTGATGTATTTAACCACAAATGTTAAAACATCTCTGGCCGAATTTTAATGGAAAAAATGTAGAAAATTCCAACCTTTGCTCTTTTCCTGCGGCTCATATCGTGCTGGTTGTTTGAATATTAAGTAATTATTTAATATCGGTCCAAAGTGATGAAAATCACAGTTCCCACGAGTTTGTTTTGATGCTTGAAACAGCCGGCACATACATAAAATTTAAGATTGGCAGTCATCGAATAACGCGGGGACACAGCGCCATCGAGGAACATTCTGGGAACTGATACGGTAAACAAATTTGATGAATATCCAGAGATAAGTAGAGAAAGACGTGAACTGTCGGTAATAACACTAAAATTTCATGATATATAAATGTGGACCAAAAGTTTGGATACAGTCATTTATCTCATAAATAAAGCATTTTTGAGAAAAATACATTTCGTACAAAAGTAGTAAAGTTTCAATAATATATCAAACGAGATACTCTATTATTATTATTATTATCTATTATGATCTCTCCCCCCCCCTCTCTCTCTCTCTCTCTCTCTCTCTCTCTTTCTTTCTCTTGAACATAAAAGAGTACATATAGGATTTTCAAATGTAAAATTTTCTTTTTGACATCGGAATTTTTTCAAAGCACTTATTTTTAATATAAAAATGAAAATAAGAGAAACACTTCTGATTTTAACAAAATGTCATCAAGATCATGACCTTGATCAATTTCACTTTAACGTTTTGGCTTTTTACAACCATTTTAGCGAGTTGAATCTAATAAGAAACAACTATTTAATTATTAGGTACTCATTAGATTTAACTTGCTAAAAACTTCGATATTATATAATACATAATAAAAACATAGCCATGTCATCATTCGTTGACATTTGCTCTGACAAGAAGCCTATAATTATTTAATTCAGTAAGTCTTTTAATATTAAAAAATCTTCTTAATTTTTAAATATATCTAATTTTATTATACATAATTTTACTCGACATTTAATTGGTTAATATATGTGTATGTATATGTATATATATATGTATATATATATATATATTTGCGACTTCATATAATGAAGAAACTTTTAATTTTGACCTTCACTTTTTCTCGCTTTTAATCGATGAAATTTCGGATCTAATTTTAACTACTTTTATTGACACACAATGAGAGGATTCATTATTTTAATATTATATTATTATATTATAATTGTTTACAATAATATGACATTGTCCATCTTTGATATGGTTTTGTTAAACTTTCATGTTCTTTCAAACATTTAATTAACAACATTTTTTTAAATTAAAGTATAATTTTTATAGTGCTCTCAAGCTGAAAGAAACTGATCAGTTAAGTTTCATATATTAGAATTTCCAATTAGTTCTTGTAATGAATTTGATATCTTTAATAAATTATTATTTATGATATTATTTTAATGACTATTATTTAGTGACTTACTAAGTTCGTTAGTAAATTATCTTTTTAATCAAATGTCTTTTTACTAGAGTCCCTACAGGGACTCATAGTCTTTACAAATTCAAGCAGGTAATTCATATTCTAAAGAAATAATTATTTTGACGTGATCAACGATAAGTATAATAACATATATAGATAAATCAATTCTAGAATTTTTCAATGTTCAAGATATGAAAGAATTCTCTCTCTTTCTCTATCATGTGAAAGAATTCTCTCTTTCTTTATCAGTATTTAATATTTCTAATTAATTTCTGCAACACTATGCACTGTCCTCGATATATAAATCATAACAATTACAATTCATTTTGATAAGATATCATATCACTTATACAAATATCTCAGATTTCACAAATCATTTAAGAAAATATAATTACGAGTATAATTATTACCCACGTAGCACACCAGTGCGTGTAAAGCGCTTTCGAAGCGCTGTTCAGATTGCACCTCCCAAAACTGCTGTTAGTTATGTCATATTACAGACATTGTTATACGACATCAAAAGTGTAGTAAATGTGCTATAAAACTGTATTTATTCTGCGCTGATTATATGCGCTTATAATGTGCTATTCATAGTAGATTTTGAAAGTGCTTTTAAAACGTTAATGCGCTTTTAAAGCGATAAAAAGCTACTAAAGTAATGCACCTGCATACGCGCTTTTTTTAGCGCTTTTTAAGCACTACTGTGCTACGTGGGTATATATTTACTGTCTTTCATTTGCGCGTAGCAGTCTCAATACTTATTGCGACAATTAAAGCCGGAATCTAAACTTTCTATTGAAAATGTCTGAAATAATCGTTCGAAGAGCTAGGCGTGAAGACTGTAAAGCCATTGAAAAACTCTCGAAGGTAAATTTTATTGATAATCAACATAAATTTATTATACAAAAATGTTGGACATATAAAGTATGTTATGTTACAGGAATTGGCAATCTACGAAAAGATGATAAATAGACCACAAATTGATCATAAGAGTGAGATTTATATATGTTTTAACATTACTGTGAAGTATTTCTAAAACAATATTTTATGATTTGAAATTTTTAGTCTTAGAAAGAGATGGCTTCGATGGGCAACCATTATATTTATGCAATGTGGCAACATATGACGAAAAGATTATTGGATATACGCTCTTTTATTACATTTATTCCACATGGTGTGGAAAGGGTATGTGCCTAGAAGATATTTATGTAATGCCGGATTTTCGAGGAAAAAATGTTGGCAATAAACTTCTAAAAACCGTCGCAAAGGTATGCAGTTAAGATGATCGCACAAAAGTAATATGTGTCTGATTAGGAAATATTTGCAGGAAGCAATTGAAAACGACTGTAACAAACTAGACTTTGTCGTTCTCGAATGGAACCCAGCACAAGAGTTTTATAAAAAGTATGGTGCTAATGATCTAACATTAAAAGAACAATGGCATCGTTACCGTTTTTCTAAAGAAGATTTGAAAAAATTAGCGCTTGATTAATTGTAAATATCATAAATTTATTCTAATTAAATGACAACAGCAATTATTATATACGTATTGTACGTATTATTATATAAACTGTATCAAAAGCATTTCAAAATTAAAATTAAATGACAACTATTGTAAAGGGCTGTTAATATTAAAATAATAAAATTATATAAACAAAAGCATGGTTGGCAATGTTATCTTATATAAAAATAACTCGTTACCGTTATCGTTATTTAAAATATAATGAATCGTTACTTTTTCGTTACTTTTTTTCTTGACTCTAATAGAATATTTATGTGCAAATTTTTTTTGTAAATGTAAAAAAGATCAAAATTCTATTTTTTAGTAGAGGAATACAGCTAAAAAAATGTAAATGTATATGTATGTGTATATATAGTATATATCTACATATACATATATATGAGCCGTTCGCTATAAGAATCACTTAAGTCGATTTAAGTTTATTTTTTCTGTTCAGTTGCATATCTTATTAAATATTAGCAACTGAATTTTTTCATTATTTTCTACAGAAATATAACTATCTTGTAGTAAGCTATTAGCATAGAAAGAATATTAAGTTGCTATTTTTGTTTCAATATCTTTAATTATTTAAAAATGACTTAAGTGGTTTTTTCTGCGATCGATAAAATTTGTAGCAGTTTTACAGCTAAAAACATCATAGTTTTAGCAATAGAAACGCCCCATTATTTTTAATTTTGATAAATATTTTTTTGGCTACGGTATACATCTCAGTACACTTACTTGATTTTTTTCGGATTTTTTTCTCCATATGTTCACAAATTATGATTTTTTATTAAAATTGTTAATAAAAATGAATTTTTCATTTTAATTGGCTATACATCAGAGAATAAAAATCATTTTTTCAAGTTTTCGTGTTTTTTCAGGTTTCCATGCAAAAATGATGTTAAAAAATTGCGATTAAACACATAAAATAAACTTTTTTCGACTTAAGTGGTTCTTATAGCGAACGGCTCATATATAGGTATATATAATTATTATATTATATACATATAATATTATATATATATATTAATATATATATAAAAAATATATATATGTATGTATATACATACGTATGCACATAAATCTTTACGATATATTTAATTTCTGAAAATATAAAAATTACAAAAATAAAGTATATCGTACGATACACCATTTTATCCTTGTCGTTCACCGAATATTATAAAGAAAGATAAAATGATACACATGCGCATAATGCGACAAACGGGACGCAGCCTATACGTATAAACTGTGAATACAATGTGAAAAAAGGCGTCGTAATTATGTAATTAAGAGAGTCAATCGGACCTATTCCTTATTAACGTCGCATCTCTGTTTTCTGCAACTGTAGTTACGACTAAAATTTTTACGTGGCTAGAAATAAAGTAACGATATAAATTAACAAGAATAAGGAAACCGTAATAATTTACGATTTACTAAGCCATCTACGGTCAAAGCTAGATCACTATGCTTATTATAATGTGTGAATTTATATACCGCGTATGTAGTTACCAATCACGTGCCGAAAATTTTTCCAGACTTACAACGCAACACTAAACAACTACCGTAATAATATCACTTTTTAGTTAAATTGCTAAAGCATATCTAACAATTATTTGATGCTTCTATATAGCATCTTATTAGATCTTTAATAATATGTTGAAAGACATATATTAAAATTTAACAATGTAAATGTTAAAGTAATGATGAATCTAAAATCTGTGAAAAGTAAGATTGCGAAGAATATACACGAGTTGGCGTTTCATTCCGGTTTCCACTACTGGACTCATCAGTAAAGTATTGTAATGGAAACCTACCTTAGACGCCTGTTTTAGTTATTAAATCGAGATTCTATATATACAGATATGCGCGTATTTCAGCACTTGCGAGAAACATTGCGAACATCTATACACTGAGAAAAAGAAATTGTTGACTCAACTAAATTGGCGGTCACGGGCTGTCAAGCAAATATTTTGCTAGTCGAAATATTAATGTATTTGAGTCAAATACGCAGTAGTACATTGAACAATGACTTATTTATTTCGACAGGACATATTTTTGAATTAACAAAATATTTGCTTGACAGCCCGTGACCGCCAATTTAGTTGAGTCAACAATTTCTTTTTCTCAGTGTAGACCTCTAATGGCGAGTCGACGTAATAATATTCTTCGCAATCATTTATCTAAAGTAGTAATAACGTATATTTTCAGGCTACGATAAAACAGGCAACGATAAAAGTATTTTGTGAAATCGTTACCATTACCACAAAAATGTAGCTGCGTTATTATGAACGTTACTTCTAAGAAAATGTAACGTCGTTATCTATTTGTTACTAAAAAAAGTAACTTGTAATAGTAACGACATTACGAATAACGCATATTAACTGCTAATCCTGAACAAAAATTACTTCGAGTACGGCGTAAAATTCTTTATATAAAGTACATATTTTTGATTAAACATACATCAAATTTACTTAAATGTTTTGGCCTTTTTAAATCATTTTTAGCAAGTTATAAATCTAATAAAAAATAATTATTTTCCTGAATAATAGGGAAGTCAATTTTAGAATTTTTCGATGTCCAGGATGCAAAAAGTTTCTCTGTATACATATCGGTTATTTTAGTGTAATCCATTGTAATCCAGAAGCATAATCACGAAATATAACAAGTAAAAATGTCATATCAGTTAATGTCAATTAAAACGTAACATTGTCATTTTAATAAAATGAACAAGTTGAAATAAACAAGTTTAAATTAAAAGTCAAAAATGGTTTTTTAATTTCCGACTTATTGATACCGGTTTATTAAAATAATATTACTAAATTTTATTGTTTTGACAAATATTACATTTTTACTTTTTGTGATGGTGTTCTTACTTCAGTTTAACGTTTTATTTCCATATAACATTAAGTTATATCTTTTATCCTCCAGAGGTTATAGGGTGAAAAGATAACTTAATAGTACTTTTAATTAATTTCTACATTGTCACATTCACATTTACATTCACATTCATTTTCCCTGCAATTCATTTTGATAAGATAATTCTTATCACGTATACATAAATATAAAATATTTATTAGGTTATTTCAGATTTCACAGATCATTCGAGAAAATATAATTATTACGTTTACTCTCTTCCATTTGTGCGTAGCAGTCTCAACACTTATTGGAGCCGGAATCTAAACTTCCTATTGAAAATGTCTGAAATAATCGTTCGAAGAGCTAGGCGTGAAGATTGTAAAGCCATCGAAAAACTCTCGAAGGTAAATTTTATTGATAATCGACATAAATTTATTATACAAAAATGTTAGACAATATAAAGTATGTCATTTTACAGGAATTGGCAGTCTACGAAAAGTTGATAAATAGACCACAAATTGATTATAAGAGTAAGATTTATACATATTTTAACATTACTGTGAAGTGTATTTTTAAAACAATATTTTTTATGATTCAAAATTTTTTAGCCTTAGAAAGAGATGGCTTTGACGGGCAACCATTATATTTATGCAACGTGGCAACGTATGACGAAAAGATTATTGGATTTATACTCTTTTATTATACTTATTCCACATGGTGTGGAAAGAGTATGTGTCTAGAAGATATTTATGTGATGCCGGATTTTCGAGGAAAGAATGTTGGCAGTAAACTTCTAAAAACCATCGCAAAGGTATGCAGTTAAGATGATCGCACAAAAGTAATATGTGTCTGATTAAGAAATATTTGCAGGAAGCAATTGAAAACGACTGTAACAAAGTAGACTTTGAGGTTCTCGAATGGAACCCATCACAACAGTTTTATAAAAAGTATGGTGCTGAGGATCTAACATTAAAGGAACAATGGCATCGTTACCGTTTTTCTAAAGAAGATTTGAAAAAATTAGCGCTTGATTAATTGTAAATATTATAAATTTATCCTAAATGATTATTCTTAAATAACAATTTTTATACGTATTGTATATACTCTATTATATATAAACTGTATCAAAAACACTTCAAAATTAAAATAAAATGACAACTATTCTAAAGGGCTGTTAATATTAAAATAATAAAACGATATAAACAAAAGTTACTTAGAGAATGGCGCACAATTCTTTATATAAAGTATAATACATATTTTTAATTAAACATACGTCAATTTTATTTAAATGTTTTGGCTTCTTTAAATTATTTTTAGCAAGTTGAATCTAATAAAAAATAATTACTTTCCTGAATAATAGGGAAGCCAATTTTAGAATTTTTCAATATCCAGGATGCAAAAAATCTTTCTTTATACATATCGGTTATTTTATTGATGTAATCGATTATAATTCAGAAGCATGAAATATAATAATTAAAAATTTAACATTTGTTAATGTCATAAAACATAACATTGTCATAAAACGACATGAACAAATTGTAAATTGAAAGTAAAAAATTGTTTTTTAATTTCAAACTTATTGATACCGGTTTATTAAAACAACATTAATAAATTTTACATCTTATATTTATATTGTTTAATAAATTTTACATTTTTACTTTTTGAGATTATGTTCTTGCTTCAGTTTTATGTTTTATTTCCATATGACATTAAGTATATCTTTTATTCTCCGGAGGTTACAGGGTGAAAGGATAGCTCTTTATAATTAATTTCTGCAACACTGCACTGTTCAATGTGTATCAACCACAGACATCTATATAATAATAGATGTCTGTGGTATCAACGATAGCAATTGTCAATCTATATATTGATAAGATATTCACACTTCGATCACTTTTATCGATAATAGATGCATTTTTTGATAAAATGAACGTAAACGTAGACATATAATACGTATAAATATACATATATGCATATCATATCGTGCGTGCGTGTTTCATATACATATATATATGTATGTACATATATATATTTTTTAGATTATCTCAGATTTCACAGATCATTCAAGGAATGATAATTTATTAGGTTCGCATTCTTTCATCTTTACGGATTCTCCACATTTTTCAAATATTCAAACTTATTTACGATATTTAAAATCGGAATTTGAACTTGCTACTGACAATGTCTGAAATAATTGTACGAAGAGCTAGGCGTGAAGACTGTGAAGCCGTCAACAAATTAGCACAGGTATTTTTTATTAATAACCGATGAAAACATTAAATAATATAAAAAATATTACTTTGCAGGAACTGATAGACTATGAAAAGCTGACCGATAGACCACAAATGGATTATAAAAGTGAGATTTGTGAGCTTTTATACTATGTTATGAAGATCTCTAAAATAATATCTTATAATAAACATTTTTTAGCTTTCGAAAGAGATGGTTTCGACGAGCAACCTTTATATTTGTGTAATGTGGCAACATGTGACGAAAAGGTCATTGGATACACGGTCTCTCATTACACTTATTCCACATGGTGTGGAAAAGGAATGTGTCTGGAAGATATTTATGTGACGCCAGATTTTCGAGGGAAACATGTTGGCAGCAAGCTTTTAAGAGCCGTCGCGAAGGTATGTTCAATTAGAATTGCATATATGCGATATGTATCTGATTACGAAGTATTCGCAGGAAGCAATTGAGAATAACTGTCATAAACTAGACTTTGTGGTTCTTGAGTGGAACCCAGCACAAGAATTTTACAAAAGACATGGTGCCAGTGATCTGACATCTAAGGAACAGTGGCACCGTTACCGTTTTTCTGAAGAAAATTTGAAAAAATTGGCATCTAATTGTGAATAGCATACATGTATTGTAATTAACTGACAGTGGCAATAATTATGTTATATATGCAAATATTTAATCTATATCAAATACACTTCAAAATTAAAATTAAATAATAATTATTGCAATGACTCTAATTTTAAATTAATAATAAAATATTAATAAAAATAAAGACTACTGACGCAGTATTTACATATTTAAATGCATATATTAATTTTTTTCGGCTTTGCTTCTTTTTAAGCCATGATACAGGTTTTATTTTTACTTCTTGTGATTGCGCTTTTGATTTAAATTATATTAACAAAGTAATTAATATGAAAAGGGAATCACGTTGGACATTACAGAATTGGCTTACCTACCGCTTATTTTATGAACGTAATTATTTCGTTATTATTCCACTCTTTAACGATGGCTTCAAAAAATTTCAAACGTTCAAATGAAATTGTTTTTTAAGCAAATATATTTTATTCGAAAGAAAATGTTTGCACTACAATTACTGTGTCGTGCTTTCTCTTTACTTTTATTATTATTTTAAAATTGAAAGTTCAATATACTCATACAAATTGTACTATTAAATCAGATAAAAAAATTATTTCTTTAATCTTAAGTAATACATATATTGTATTAAATAATACATTAATATTTTATTTTTATGATATTTGATACATTCCAATGTGTCGCAACGTATAATTCTTTTAGTCAAATTGATTTCCAATTGTGCTCTTTTGATATTTCTCCATTCCGATTCATTTTTTTTATTTATCTTATCTTATCCATAGACTTTATAGATATGACAAGACGCATCCGTACTTCTGTCTCCAACAGAACTTGGAAATACGTTTCGCGCATGCTCGACATGTATTATACATTAAATGTTTCGTTGAATTTATCTTTTACAAACATTTACGAAATTTTATTTCGTAAAATTTTCTAATTATCTGCACTTTATATTTTTAAAGAGGCTCTTTTTTTTATTTCGTTCTTCGCTTTATTATTTAACATTTTTACAATAAAAATGCATTATACGTTTAACATAACATGCGCAATGTAAACTTGCGGACACTGAGAAAAAAAAGTACTGAAAAGTATATTTTTTCTTCTCCCCCCCACCCCAGCTTTTTCCGGATGCTGTTTCAAATGTAGGAATCATAGCATTTAATACCAGTCTATATCTGATGAAGTTTATGTATGTACTATAGATCATACATTTATACATATATTATACTTACATACATAGATCATTACATTATATACATTATATACATATATCATTAGATTGGATCAGTTAACACAGATCATTCAAGGAATTATTATCATTAGGTTCGCTTTCTTTCATTTGTACTTTCGTATATACAGATAATGACATATTAAACATTTTAAAAATACATTTATTGTATAATATTTGACGCCGGAATCTTATTCACTTTGAATAATGTCTGAAATAATCATACGAAGAGCTAAACGTGAAGATTGTGAAGCCATCAGAACGCTCATACAGGTAAATTTTGTTGATAATCGATGAAAACGTTGAACATCGTAAAAAAAACGTTATATTTTGCAGGAATTGGCAGACTACGAAGAGATGCCTGATGGACCACAAATTGATTATAAGAGTAAGATTTATATATCTACTCTTTTATATTATAAGAGTTATATATATATATTTTTATATTATGTTATAAAGTTTTAAAATAAGTAATGATAAAAAATTTTTAGCCTTGGAAAGAGATGGCTTTGACGGACAACCTTTATATTTCTGTAACGTAGCAACATCTAATGAAAAAGTCATTGGATATACTTTGTCTTATTACACTTATTCCACATGGTGTGGAAAATCTATGTATCTGGAAGATATCTATGTGACGCCAGACTTTCGAGGAAAACATGTTGGCAGCAAACTTATAAAAGCTGTCGCGAAAGTATGTTCAGTTAGAGTAGTATATATACAATGTATGTCTAATCATAAAATATTTTGCAGGAAGCAATCGAGAATGACTGTCATAAACTAGACTTTGTGGTTCTTCAGTGGAACCCAGCGCAAGAGTTTTACAAAATGCTTGGAGCCAGTGATCTGACATCAAAGGAACAGTGGCACTGTTATCGTTTCGTCGAAGAAGATTTGAAAAAATTAGCATCTGATTGTGAATAGCATGAAGATATTTGATTGACAACAGCAATCATTAAATAGGATGACCATTAGAATTGTGTTAAAACTAAATGCTCGTTGAAACAGAGGAGAAAAAGTATATAATGGTTTACTTTCAACACAATCCTAGTAGTTACCCTGCAGTATTATACAAACAAATACTTAATATACATCAAATTCACTTCCAAATAATATGTTCAATAAAAAATTTTGTTCCTGTGTTTTTAAATGCATGAATTATTACTGTAGAATCTTTGTATTTTAACTCTATATTTTTCATCTTTTCTCTTTTTCCCTCCAATGTCCAACTGTAAGTTATAATGTGCACCAATTTTACTAGGTTAAGTAAGAAATGTGATATTAGTGGAGGATAAAAAATCAATTTAGAAAGAAGCCGAATGTAATCTGTATCCGTGTTTTAAATGGAAATCCATTCACTGGCGCCTCTATGTGCACAAACATTGAACTACATAGCCATGAATATTATTTCAGGCGGCAAGAAAGTAATTGCGGTTTTTCTTGATAGATGGTGTTGATTGAAATTTTTGATAGTTTGACGTTTCAAAGTGTCAAAGTTTATATGTTTGTTTGTTAGCTCAGTACTTTAGTCTTCATTCAGTAAAAAAATTACGTCGATCGAACATTTAGTTTTTGTTCAGCAATTGTTTAAACATGGAGTGTAAAAATGTGCATTTTTGTCATGTTTCGCTTTTTTTTGTTTCCGAAAAAGAATGAAAGCATCTGAAGCTCATAAGAAGTTTTACGTGCTGTGTATGATGATGAAGCCTTAAAAGAACGACAGTGTCAAAATTGGTTTGCCAAATTCCGTTCTGGAGTTTCCGTTTCATTCAAAAATAACCAATGTTCCGGTCGACCTACTAATGTTGATGATGACCAAATCAAAGCCATAATTGAATCGGATCGTCATATAAGTGTGCGAGAGATAGCAGAGAAGTTAAATGTATCACACACAACAATTGAAAATCACTTGAATGGAAAAACTTTCATCAATAAATTATAATAATTATTCTTACAATTCTTACAAGTTATAATAATAATAATAATATGATTTAAATTTGCGTGCTCACGACTGTGTCTCAACGACAGTATTGCCGTTTCTTTTTTCAATTTTTGTAATTTTCACAAATCTCAATTCTCTTTACAAATCCATTAGTTTAATATTGTAATTGCTATTTGATTGAGAGAGTCATGCTACCATTATAAAAGAGTTATTGATTTGTCCCGCGTCTGCAAATGTAATTAAATATTCCGATATCTATTCTGTGGACATATCACAGAAGTAAACAATGTATATATATTGTAACTAGAACAAAATCCAAAATAGTAGATGTTACCTGCGGAGAAATGTTCATAGTTTAACGTGCATGAAATAGAGGCGCCAGTAAATGAGTTTGATTTAAAACGCAAGCATATCCACTCTGAATTTCTCTGAATTTTTCAGTCTGTATACATTATACGTTTGGTACAAGGAAACAGTTTAATTCGTAATTGTTCACAAAAGTGTAATTTTCTAGTGCTTACAGGCGTGTTGTAAACTTGTACAGTTGATTAGAATAATCGAAGGCACAATGATGCCACGCGTATGATATATTATTACATTTTGTACTTGTTAAAATAATAATATAATTAACTGACACTTTTATTATATCACATTTTGTTTATTTTTTATCATTTAAAAAGTGATATGAAATAAACAAAATGCAATAATATATATGTTGAAAGATACATAATAATCAAATTGTGTTTTTGATTTCTTTACGAATTAACAAGTATATAAAATGCAGGAACTTAACTTATTTATTATACAATTATTTTTGTTACATATTACAGAAATGTTATATATTATAGATATTAAACGGATTAACCATCACGAATTGCCAAAAAGTGCCTAAGAGAGAATTCTTCTATTGGTTAACCATAATATTTAACAGGTATCGACAAAATTCATTATTATATTGGATGTGATATTATTTGCTAATATACAACTTTTAAGGTAATAATTATTTTGAGGGTTGACTATGAAAGAATTCAGTCGGTTGGCCCAGATCGTGCATGTGCTGAATGGCTCATGAAGAATGGTGCCAGTGTCAAATGGAAAGGTTCTTCAGAGCACTTAAAAGATTATAATAAATTACAATCAGAAGGAAATCAATGTTACATTCAAGCAATAGATGCTACAGACTCTGGAATAACACATGTAGGATTTCCATATTTGGGTTAGTGTCATTAAATGCATGTATACGATAAATTATAACATTATTTGACAATTTAAATGATTTAACACACACTGAGAATTTTTTAATAAGAACAATATAATTAATTGACATAATTTGGAATTAGATATTAATTAAACTTTCCATTAGGAATAATAAGTGTAATAATCAAATGTACATTATGTTAATTAATATTTTGTAACAGCAAAGATAATTGCAATTAACTGTTCTTAGTTAAAAATGAATTGCATTTATAATAAATTTTTATATATTATGTTGTTAAATAAATAATTATAATATTTATAATAGGTAATATATGTATAGAAATTCAGTTGGTTGTAGGTATATCAATGAGATAAAACTTATACGTTGTCGTTATTTATATAACACTGCCTTACCGCTATTGTCAGCAGTGAAGGATACCTTAACTATCCTTGAAATTAATGATTGTAAGAGTATAACCGATCCAGGAGTACACAGTTTGAAAAATCTCAAGTAAGCATTTTTTATATTATTACACATATATTTATATTTAAAAAATTATTTTCAATGTTTGTTAAATTATAAAAATGTATAGTTAAATATTGAATTCTTTTTATATATATTTTACAGAAATCTGAAGACTCTGAAGATTGCTAGTATACCATATCTGGAAGATAAAGCTTCACTTAGGAGAGAGCTCAAAGAAGCTTTGCCAAATTGTACAATAGAATTGGAATAAATTGTATGGAACATCAATATTAGTAGTGCATCTGTACACAGTAAATGTCCAGATTTTATCATTATTTTTTTAACGTGTATAATACATTACATATAAAATATAGTATTAATTTAATATGTACTGTATAGAATAATATGTAAAGAAATAAATTAAGAATTGATTTTTACTTTTAGGACGTATTCGAGTGATTTGAGTGTAAAATCCTGCTCCATTCTACTTATTATTTTAAATTATTGTTCTTTTTGCGGTATTGGAATGTACTAAAATTTTCTATCTAAACTTTAAATATATATGTATATCTATTTCATTTTGAGTACGAGTGTATGTACACCAGTTCAGACTACAAATAACAGAGCTGATATTTCCTGAGTGGTGATTATATAGTCGTCTTTAAATTTAAAGCTCTGTGTAATTTCCTCAGTTTTTAGATTGTAACATATTCTCAAAAATGCCACAAGATATGAATGTTTTATGTTGTTATTCTTGTAGAATGTATCAAGTAAGCTTAAATTGGATACCATTAAATTTTTAATAATAGCGCTTGTTATAACCTATTCATTTCTTTTGTATTTTTATAGGTACATATAGTAAAAAAAGCACGCAAATGGCAGTGCAAGTTGTGTAATGCAAAGCAATCAATACAGAAGGTACATGTTTCAAGATCCATTATTGATGACAAACTATATAATTTGTTATCATTTTTATTTCGATTAAATATTAAATTACATTGTTTTTATTTAAAGGTATATTTTCAAGGATCTGGCAAAGACTGTCGTCTTCATGTCCAACATTTGAATTATTTGAAGACAAATGATACATCATTTTCTTTATATCTTCAGCAAGAGAACAGCAATGATAATTATAATACTGCTGTTCAAGAATTAGACGTTGATAAGCCTGTTAAAAGCGAGTGGGCAAAATATCTAGACTCACCAAAGAAAGAAAGTCTATCTGATGCACAAAATTCATCTTTTGATAGTATTCATGAGACTGAAGATATGATAATCAATGAGAAATCCCTATGTAATGCTATAAATAATGATTCATATAATTTTGAAGATATTGTAGATGATATTAATTTTGTAAGCGAAAATATTGACGATAAAACGGAAAAGTTATATTCTAACTATAATTGTAGAGTCGAAGATAAATGTACTTTACAAGATAGTGATAATAAATCGAACCAAGGTCATAATAATCATAATGATATTGCTAACATCTTTGAAACTTATAGTGAATTAGATGATCCTATCGATATTTAATTTTCATGAATGATCCATAGTTCCTGTGTAAATTGGTTAAAGAACAACACATAGGAACCTGTAGTATTTGAATTACATATATAATTTTTCTGAAAAGTAACATTTTATTATAGAATTTAATACATAAAAAATTCAAAAAAATATATCAAATTGTTTTTTCCACAAATTTTAATATCCTATAATTTCAATTAAATGCATAAATTATTTACCTACTTCTCATTATCTATATACATACACATGTATTTTTATGGTAACTAACTAATATGTATTTTATAATTTATAATGTTTTCTATATTAATAAAATAATACCGCAGAGACAAAATGTTTTTTTTCTAAATTCTAGAATTAAATACATTATTTCCATTTGTTACATTTCTTTTCTAATAAAAATAAATGTGAATAACATTTTAGTATATAATGCAAAGAAGATAGGAAAAGTAGAATGCTGGTTGAAAGATTAAGTGTTATTGCATGCATTTTCAAATTCTTATATATATATCTAAAATAAATAATTTAAATTTGTAAACTATTACAATGTCAGCGAAAAAAATTTGTATAACACATTATAAAGATAAGTAATTAAAAAAACAATTATATAACCGTATAAAGATTGTATATGTTAGCATATATATATATATATATGAATATATCATGTTTATCTTTATTTCTTCCTAGTTATATTATTATAATATACGCCAACATTCTACTTTTCCTCAATATATATTACGTATTACTAATAATCATTTTGCTATACTAAAACCGCTGTGTTAAAACAATATGAGGACGAATATGATACTTATCGTTAGATTAAAAGAATTAAAGAGAGAGAGAGAGAAAGAGAGTTTCAAATAAAAATTTTGTAATTACAATGATTTTATGTTTTTTGAACAATCATAAAAATTCAACTAAAGCTTAGAGCTTACATCATCTATTCTTGCTTTAGAGTCAATATATCATGATATACCAAGAATATAGATGCTTATAAATGTTTTGGCAGTGCATTACGTAAGGATATGTGTATATCTTGTCATATAAAGGCAATAGGAGAGTTAAAAAAAATGGCAGCATTTGATAAACATTTCTAATTGTTACACAAATAATACATTACAGAAAGGTTGTAATTGGCAAGGGAAGATAAAGTTATTCTTTTCGTTGTGTGTTCAGTCTTCTATTACACAGCTGATTTCAGTAATGATACTAATAAATACTTTATGTAATAAGAAAATGTATATTGACATTGATTAATATCGACATGTTAATAGTGAGAAAAGTAATAATATTGTTAAATTCAATTTATTAATTTTTAAACAAATGCGATTAGTAATGATATATACCTTAAAAGTTTCAAGCTATAATTAGACAAGTTTTTTTGCACAATATAATTATCTTCTCACTAAACATTTTCTTTAAAAAAATGAATAAATAAAAAAAAACATTTGCGAAATAGAATAAAATTACCTAACTACGTCTTTAATTATTTATAGTCCCAATTATATAAAATGTATATAAATCATATAAAAATTACATATTTTATATATTTGTAAATGTGCTCCACACAGTGCATATGACATTTCTACAATTAATTCTGACAATCGCCGTAAAATATATCGAAAACATGCACAATGTGGATGATGAAAGTCTAATAAAATCAAATTATTAATATCAGCTAATATAAGCTCGGTTTCTCTTCATTATTTATTACTAAATAAATTAGATTACTAAATGCATTGCGAAATCAATATACCTAAGGCAATTTGTCACGCAATTGTTGAAGCGTAAAAAAAAAAGAGATAAATCAGTATTGATGTCTATAATTATGACGTCGGGGGAGATTCATTGAATCTTGATGATGTCGCCAGCTACTTTGCCAACTTCTACTACGCCTATTCCAACTAAAAGAAAAATGATATTAAATTCATATGACCATTAATTATAGTAGATGATCATATTATCATATTTAATTCAACTATTTTTAATCTTTAGAAACACCTCTACACCTACTTTTGTAACTTCTTTCGTCTTTTATTAGGCGGACTGCCAAGTTCGCTTTCACGTATAATTTGTAACGCCGAAGGTACGAATACATCTTCTGCTAAAATAATTTATAAGACTTTTATTACTTAACGTATAAATAAATATTTTTTACAAAACATACCGAATGCATCACTATATTTTCTTTTCGAAATATATCGTTGATGTTGTTGGAGCTGCGGCATAGCTTCTCTAGCGTTACCGACCGTACAATCCCATGTACCTTTACATCCCTTCAAGTGCTCCAATTGATCATGCAGATAAGATTTTTCAGTGGGTGTCAAAGATGATGCTCTATTCCATTGTTCAAATGGATCTATGACAAAAAATGAAAATAATATCAATAGTTCTTTCATGAGATCTTATTCCTTGAGATTTCTCTCATACATACCAAGTCTTAAATTATAATATGTTACTAATCCTGTGGTAAATTCGCAGTAAAGGAAATCGTGCGTCTTGTTAATTGTACGTATGCACGAATACGTATTATTATTAGCATTCATGCAAAAGCAAAATGGTCCCGCATTCCACAGAGGTGCGGTACGCCAGTGATCGTTATCGTGCTCGAAGCAGTTCATTTTTTCCGTTAGGCATTCCTTTTCCAGTTTTGCCTTCTTTCTGAGTTTTCGCTCTTTTTTCTTTAAACGCTCCTCCTTTAATCTTCGCCTTTCTTCCCTAGCGATCTCTTTTTCATCTTTTTTTGTATCTGGCTCGCAATAACATTTATGTCGTGCTTCTAATGGAGTATTTAGCATTGGCGGCAGACGATCGTTATTATTGGTTAAACCTAAAGAAAAATTATAAATTGAAAATTATATCTTTAAAGATACAAACTAAAATTAATCAATTTATACCTTGTTTGTGTTTTCTATCAGGAGATTCAAGAATGGTAACGTCGATCCTCGCTGGTCCAAGAATACCTGTTCTATTCTTTTGTAGCTTGGGATATCTCTTCACTGATGGTGTAGTCGGTAATATAATGGATGTATTTCGAGGTCGACCGAAACTTTTATCGATAGCCGGATTAGTTCTTGGCATCTCTGTCATATGTATCGAAGTCATTGTTATAGTCGATCCAGATTCAGTAACTGCGATCGATTCCGTAATACGATCTTCGCTGAAATCGTTATTACCCCTGAATACTTCTGAATACTGGGTTCCTTGCCTTACAGTGCTTGCTTCTGTAATCGCAGTAGCAGGAACAGTCATAAATTTGTGACTGTGTTTTTCGCGAGTCGCAGGATTTTGCGTAGACAGTGTCACATCACTAGTGACATATGTTGTATTCACGCGTGGAGCATCATCGTGCACACTATTCGTAAGTAGCGTATTATTTCTACGATGATGATGCGTTTTCCTGCGTCTTTGCGGCTTATCTTCTTCAATTTCTGTTTTGTTCGTAGGTGGCTCCTTAAGCTTCTGACGACGAGGTTGTTTCTTCGATTTAACTGTCGTTAGAATCGTCGTTGTTGATGTTTCAGTCTCTGTTGTAGAAGTTTCAATAGAACTATATTTGTCGGGCTTCTCTTCTGTCGTCGATGTTTTTTCATCGCTCGGAGTAGTATTAATCTTCATAACGGACTCCGTAGTCGTATTTGTGATAAGATCTGTAGTAGTATGAGCAATTTTATCGTGCTTTTTATGATGGCGGCTTGCGTGTCCCTTTAGAGAATGATGGTGGGTTTTGTGCGAACTACGAGTTTCTTCAGCGTCAGCAAGTTTCTCCTCATTATCCGAAAATTGTGGTCGTTTGATCATTAAGTGTCTGCGAATCTCCTGCAAATACATACAGTACAGACGTTGTCATAAAACTTAATTAAAAGGCCTATATATCTACATTATATCATATTGTACAATGTATTAATATATATTTATACAATTTACTTTCAACGTTTCCAATTGCATTCGCATGTTTCGGATTTGCTGCTCAATCTCTCGTCTGGATATTCGCCATTCGTTAGGATCATGATATATAGCTTCGGTACAATTTACACCCCCTTCTGGTAAAACCAAACATTTTGGCGACAGTGATTTTCCCATTTCGGATGATAGGTGACGAACTTGAGTTTGCTAAAATAATAAATTGCTTATATTTAGTGATACATATAAAATGATATTAAAATAAACTTGACGTTTCGTCAAACGTTACCTTCAAGTCATCTAGTTCTTCTTCTATGGTTTCCATAATCTTCGTGACATCCTCTATAGAGTCCTTCTTCGTGACATTTCTTCGTACTCTTCGATGCCTTTTTATTACGTCATTCAAGTTTAATCGACCATTAACAATTTTATCTAAAGTAGGATCAAAGTCGTTTATCGAGTAGCCGTAGTCCAAATAGTCGACAAAATATTTGTTTAATTCGTCAGTTTCATCAGAGTTCTCCATTCTTGCATTACTGCTGCTTCTGAAATGCGTGTCACATAGAAACCTCAAAATACAAAGTTTTTCCAAAAACTCTGCGATATTTAATAATTACTTTCGTACCTATCAAGATAATTCTTCTTATATTCTTCGTTCACCTCCCGCGCCAGCATATCAATCTCCTGCATCATATTGTCATCGTCTTCCTCGTCAATCGCGCGTCTATCTCTATCATCCAAGTCGATGTCGTGATCAGACTCATCACTATTTTCCTTGGCTGATACGATATCACCCGATATTTCTCGCTTGCCTATATCAAATTATTTTTCATTCGTTTTAATTCGAATTTAATTCATCTCATAACAATTATTTCAATAATTTAAGGCATTTGTAAATTGCTACGATAAAAAGTTGAACTTAAATTTATCTGTGAATATCTTTATAATTGGAGTATTTATTTTTTTTTTTATTGTAATAGATTAGGAAATGCAGAATAATAATAATACTTAGATCACCTCGTTTGGTGAAAAAACCCGCTGTATCATCATAAGGATCCACAGGCCGGCGATCCTTGGTGAAACCGTATCTCTGTCCGTCGTAATCGTTG